AAATTAAGATGTTTTGTGCCTGCATTAATAAATTCCACATACTGGCTAGTGTATACAGGAATTCTCTTATAGGGTAAAAAAAGGGTGACGGATGAAAACAATGCCCTGGTTATAAGATCTCTAAGTTCTCTCTGATTATTCTAAGCAATCTAGTCGATTTCACCAGATAATGTAAGTGCTATGACCTAGAGCTGTAAAACTAATTTAGGTTACTGCAACAAAGGTGGTGGGGCTTGTTATGATGGATATTCTGAGGTGATCTGCATTAATTGTGGGACATGAAGCCCGAGGCTTATCCAAGTTCAGCGGATGGATGGTTAGAAGGAACAAAATCATTCATGGCTCTGAGGGTGTTCCTGCTACACTGACCTCTCCTTCCACTGAGAACGCATTCAATCGATTCCAGCCATCTTCCTGCACTGACAGCCGGCTCACCTCCCCTCCCTTATCACCATGGTGATTACACACCCCTGTGACTTCGGTCACCCAGACTCCACCCTGGTCCCAGATAACAGATTATGGGCCAAATTGATTTGTAGCATCACACAGATCCCCGCCTAGTCATTCAAGCATTTTTTTTCTCTTCTACTTGCCCTTCATCAATCTATCTATATCCAATTCTACCTGTCAATTAACTTCCCCAGAGCTATTCATTCTCATTATAAATGGCTGTTTGTTTGCCCGGAATCAACTAGGTTTTATTTAATGTACCTGAAATTAATTAAAATAGGGGTTGCTGAACACCCTTTGCTGGTGTCCTCACTCCAAAGTTGCCCAAAACACACAGTTTAAGTGTATAAAGTGTGTGGATATACAGACATGCAAGGAAGGAACATAAGAGGGGAAAAAACAGTAGTGACAAAAGGTTCAAAATATCCAACCAACTTCACTCTACCAGTCACTTCCACACTCACATTTAAGTGTATTGAAGGCCAACTCAAAAGCTGCACGTTGCATCTCCTCATCTTTGACTTTAGGTAACGAGAGCCCTCTCTCGTTGCCGTAATTCACCAACCGCTGGGCTGCAGACTTCTCCAGGTGGTTATTCTGGAAGATGACTGACGCCAGCAGGTAAATTCTGTCTGGAAAGCCCAGCTGACCTTGACCGGTGGTCTGGGGCTCTGGAGAAACAGAAGCGGCGTCACTGCCGGCGGGGTCATCCACAGGAGTCGGGTCCTTGCTGCTCTCAATCTGGGAGCCAGACTTTTTTGTCTTGCATGTGGAAGAGCGATTGGCACGCCCTCCAATGTTTTTATTTTTCACCATCTTCTCAGAGATGAGATTAGTTTTCTCTCTGACACCTGAAAACACACCATAAAATCTTAAATAATACACAAACCACTCACACGCAAGATTCTATGTTTGTGATTTATGGCAATACAAACTGACTTCACCCATATAACGTTAGTTAGCTCAGATATATAGGCATAATTGTGTTAGTTTATTTGTGAATAAATATCCAGCTATATAAATATTATTGCCAAATGTCAACATTATGACCATGGTGTAAAATGTATAATTTTTAAATTTTGATTTAGTACATTTTCTATGGGTTATATTATCTTTGTTTAATTTAATGTTAGCTTACCAGGTTTGTAGAAACTTTTAAGTTAAACACTTAAACAAACATTATGACCTAGTTAACTAACGTTAGTTAACTATTGAATTAAAGCTAGTTAGCTAAAAGTGCCACAGACTGGAGGCACACATTGTTATTTAACATTAAATAAATAAATCTCTGACTCTGTTTTAAAACAAGTGTAGTAGTTAGCTAACGAATAACTAACGCAGGTAAAATTAATGAATGTGTTAACTGCTAAAGTGCTCTAACAGCTACAGTCAGCCAGCACAAAACTAAAACATTGATTTAGATGAAGTTAAGCAGGCGTCTCTGTCTATAAACTACTTAACGTTAACTTACCTTATGAGAAGAGTGTCCTGTATTCTCTGGCCAAAAGATCTGTAGTCTTCATATTTACCGGTGCGAGTGTTTAGTCTATTAACGTTAGCTTGGCTGTTAACCTTGTCTCGACGCAAAGTCTGTAACTTTAAATAAATCTGGCTCCGTTATTAAACGATGGGCGTTTCCACAGATGTTTACTGCAACCCTCCCCCCGAGCTCCGACACCCTTCAGTCTCTTTCTCGTTAATTCAATAAAAATAAACCACGCGTTTTGAAGTCGCTGTTGATATACAGGGTTGTTGTGTCTCCAGTTAAAAACAAACTTTTCTAAATGTCTGTCAACATTGTGGAAGCGCTCTGGATTAGCGTGCTTCCGTCACCACGGCAACCGCATGCTAATTTCAAGGTCCTGTTCTTCACGGATCAAGAATTAATCTCCTTAACGCTGGGTGTCCTCTGGACAACACTGTGTGCTTGTTAAAGTTTTACAGAGCATTATGTCAAATGAAAGCTAGTGACAACGCTGATGGACAGTAAACATAAATGCAAATGAGTTGCAGATGGCCTGCAGCTGCTGTGGTCCGTGAAGGAAGTTTGTAAACAGGGGTGTATAGGTAAAATAGGTATTATGGCTCTTATAACTTCCTCTCCTCTTTGCACCCCAGTTATTCCACCTGAGACAATAAAAGTAAAAGTATAAAGTATTTCTGATTCTTCCATGTTGTTCTCAGTAACACTCATGTTACATAATTTGGTAATGATTCATTTGTATAATGTGTCATTGTTTTGTATGTATATTTGGCCCTAAGACTATTTCTAATGTAAAGTGAACGTTTTATACACTATAAGTCCAGACACCTTTTCATAAGGTCAGTCAGTGACCCTATTCAAATTTGCACAATAGTCCAAAGAAGGTATGTCATTCTGTTTTTATTTTTTAATTTGATTTTAAAGCCTGATAAAGAGCACCAAATAACATGTTAAATCTCTTCCTTGTAATAAAATAGAGAATAATATTAATAATGTAATTTAAATATAAAGTTAGTCTCAATAGAAATTGTGAGTAATGTATCTATTGTAAGTATTAAATACAAAATATACTTGAAATATGCGCAGAATTATGCAAAGTGGCCCCTCTTAGAGTATTATATAGACATGTACAGTATATAATAACATTGTATGATGTAGATTGATGAATTAACATGTCAGCAGCATGTTAATGTTGTAGCTGGTTGAGGTGGTGTAATTTTAACTGCTTTATACTATCGGACAATTAAAGATGACTATATGTTTTGAATGTAAAAATCCTAATCTGCAAAGGAACTATATGTATAGCTGTTAGATAAATGTGGTACAGCACAAAGTACATGTACTTCTCTTCAAAATGTCCTTAAGAACAGTTACATAGTATAAGTAGCCTACTTAGATTCATTCCACCTAGAGTTCAGTCATTGGTGAGTTAATTGTATCATCACAGTGATTTTTCATTTTGTATGTAAATCTAAGTGGCGAGAGATAAATCTTATCCAAGTGAAATTCTGTAAAGTACTTTGTAATTTGCCCAGCAGTCTTTTCCATCAGTGCCTGAGCTGCTATGCCTGTCCAAATTACATGGTTTGCACTTCTCCTGGCCTCCCATGGTGATTACAGCCTGTTGTGGCCCCTGTGGCTTACTGAGCACTAATGGAACGCAATGCAGTCGGTGGCTTCCCTCAGACAGAAAATGCAAGATATTCTCACACATCAGACGGATTGTGCTTCAGAATAACAATCTCTTTGGAGAGGAGGATAAAAAAAAAACTATGACTCCTCTGCCTATTTGATTTCTGCTCAACAGATCCCACACTGGGGAGACTCAACAGAACAATCAACAGGCGTGCTGTCCTGCTGCATTTGACACTGACAAACTCACTTCCATTAATAGCCTCCAGATTTAATTATTTTAATTGTAGCAAGAAAGATGTATAGTCACTTACCATGCAATAACCCAGAGGAGTAATAAACAGTGCACCAATAATCTTTCTCCTCTCAGTAGTAAAAATGTGTGAGTGGATCACTGTAGATGATAGAAGGAATAATTCTGGGATGCACATCTTGTGCACTTACGTTTTGCCACATGCAGCTTCAAACAGTACGCCTTAGGACATCCACCACCAGAGTGGTATGTGGGAAAATGAGCACCCTCTACTGTACGATTAAGGTATTGTAGTGAAAAAAATCTGGGAGAGATCATTACTTAAAAATCATGTTTTATTTTGTTCCATTCTGACTCTTCTGTGTATTACATTCCCAACCAACTGTAGGGGGTCATTTTTAAAGAGGTACTGGAATAGGGAAGGAGGAAAAATATAAGTATATGCCAGTGGTGGAAGAAGTATTCAGATCCCTCGCTTAAATAAAAACACACAGTGTATAAAATACTAAATCACAACTTAGTCAAGTCTGGTCTTCATATTGTCAAAAAATCTCAAGAAAGGACCAAAACCAACAATGAACTGATCCCAGTAACAAGTGTTTCCTGTGTAGTCAAAGTCTGACATAGCTAATTCTGCTGTGTGACATATTGCTTCATCACAATGAACATGAGCACTTCAGTTTATTTTGAGTCAATCCCAAATACACAAATCCCGCTGCCATAAATACTAGCACACCAAATCCACCGCTGAAAATAGTCTCCAAAGAACACACTGTTTGAGATACATTTGCCAGAAACTACAGTACCCAGATGGTTTAGGAAATTACTTTGGCTTTTTCATATAAAGACAAAGGGATATACTTATGACCAGTTTTTACAGATTTAGTATTGTAACAGAAAAGCACATTGTTATTTTGGTCTTTTTATTGGATTTGTTAACATTCATCTGTCTGTCTGTCTGTCTGTCTGTCTGTCTACTATTTATCTGTCTGTCTGTCTGTCTGTCTGTCTGTCTGTCTGTCTATTGATCTATCTACTATATATCTATCTGTCTGTCTGTCTGTCTGTCTGTCTGTCTGTCTATCTGTCTGTCTATTGATCTATCTACTATATATCTTATATAGTTTGGTTACAGTTTTTCTCCATTGGTTTGGCTCATTTCTCGAAACAGAAATTACATTCTCAAAACTCTAAGATCATTTGGCAAAACAGTCAGTTCAGCACAACACCATAGCTCACTTGCAAAAGTGCATATCTCTCCCAAAACAGTTCACTCGTGTCAAAACTAAATTTCTTTCTCATATAAATAGTCAGTACCTTCAAAATGCATCGTCCCTTTGGCATTGTGTGAGCACTGGAAGTCAAAATGTTTAGATGTTTTGTCACTATGGCAGAGGACCATATCCCTCATGTCCACCTCTCAGTCTTAGCCCAGTCCTTCATTCACAATGGTTACTGTACTAGCTTTTTTTGTCAAGCTAACAGAATACAATTGTGTATAAAACTGAAAAAATAAAAAAACAGGATTTTAGGGTAAGAGTAGCCTCTAAGGTTTGACATCACACATTGCACTCACACTGCCAAGGAAAGGTAGCCATTTTTATTCACACACATAAAGTAATCTCCATATCAGAGTAAAAAGAAAATGTATAAAGCATAATATACTGTTATATAAATACATAAACAAAAACAAGGAAAATTATATGTAGCCTACAGTGCTGTAAATAAATACAGTATATGGTATTCATGGTATTATGCTGATATGATTATGTTGACTAATTTTGACGATTGAACAGACTATTGTGCATGTGATGACTTATAGAATGAAATGGAAATTGTGCTAAATGTAGGCTAACTGTACTTAATCATTTGCAAAGATGTAGTAATACATTTGCAATGTGATGAAATCAATGAGAAATACAATTCTGTTGTGAACAATTGTCAAGTGGTTTGGAGGTTTGTCCATGTTGTTTTGAGAATGTAATTTCTGTTTCAAGAAATGAGCCAAACCAATGCAGAAAAACTGTAATAAATCTATAGCAATACATCATATTTATAAATGTATAAAAGTGTTTTATAAAAAGTATAAGATTTCCTTCAGAAATATAGTGGAATTGAAGTAAAACTCTACTTAAGTACAGTACCTAAATTAATGAAACAATCTTAGGTTTTCTTCCTTTCCCTATTGTTATTTATTCTTTCTCCCACCTTGTTCATGTGTGTGTACACACACATTCACTTGACTTTCCAAGTTCAAGGTATGGGGTTTTGGGTAGAGGGGGGTGTCAGAGTGTGTTGTGTTACATAATTGATGCTCCTGATATTACCTTACATCCTCACTGCCCTGGCTGTGCTACAAACAAAGCTTGCTCATTAACTATTCACTGGATGATTTTGAACAGAAAAATGATTCTGCAGATCCGGAGCGTGGACTGACGCTGTAACTCTCAGCCCCAGGCATCCCATTTCACACTAGTGAATAAGACATGTGCTGTCTCCACTGGTCATATTTTAACTTGACAGTAGATCCCCTTACATGTATTCAAGGGTCAGATAATGAAGTACCTGTATATACTTGACAGGGATGGTAATAGACTGTACATTTGCAACATGCTATCAATAGAGATGGTGGGGATTGTATAGGAAGCAAACAAACGCAGGCAGAGTGGTCGCCATCAGAAAACAATGATTGAACAACTATCATTTGTTGCGCCCTTTCATTAGAAGTTATCTACATTGACAACATACATTATTAAAGTCTGTCCCATTGTGCTAGGTTTTAGATGAAGACCAATGTATATAATGTTGCTATGTATAGGATGCTAAATTATCAAGTGTGTAAGAAATCATGGGTTTTAGCATTGCATGTACATGGCCAAAACAATGAATGCAAAGTACATTTTATTTATTTTCAAATAAATCATTGTAATCTATACTGTTATTATTAATAAAGAAAAAGCCACAAAGTCCATATATCTTTCAACGTACAGCATGTTTATAAAACACAAAATAGTCCCTTGGATGTTTTTATTTGACAAAAAAAAGTTCACTGAGTCAAATATATAAAAACCCGTAGCATCACTGCGGTGCCTTGCCAATGATGAGGATGCTCATGAGGAAAACCATGACGAAGAAGATCCACATGAAGAATCTATCCATCACCTTTGCGATCTTCTTCCATTCTGCCCCTTTGGCGCAAGTGGCCCTCTGCTCTCGAAAACAGTTGGCGATATATTCAACATTGCGCACCAGCTTGGTGTCCGCACCAGGGATGCCACTGCCATGGCTACAGAACACGCAGGGGCCAAAGGTAACTGTAGGGCCTTGAGGTGGAAGCTTTTTTTCATCAGGGCAGCAGGGAAGCTTTTGGTCTTCAGGATAGCAGGGGACTTTCTGATCTTCTTTACAGCAATCACCTGTAGGGATTTTACCATTAGAGCCTTCATATTTCCCGGGTCCATAGTTGGAGGGGTGGCTCCTATCTTCTCTAGTGATGTGGTGCTGCGCTTTCACTCTGGGATGGTGCTGCGGCTTGGGCGTCTGAGGTCTGGGGTATTTGTGACTCTGCCAGTCCTGTCGGCTACTGTGGCTCCCTGGTTTGCCATTTGCGTGAATGTGGTGCTGGTGACGGATGTCATCCTGGGGGAAGTGAGAAGACGAAGAAGAGGAGGAGGAGGAAGCAGAGGCACAGTTCTCGCCCACCTCATAAACAAAGAAAATCTTGGACATGTAGTCAATGATGAGGACTTTAGCCCAGTGGGGGACTGGTTTGGCCTCTGCACCACAGAAGTGGATGTTCATGATGAAGATGGTGAGAGACGTGGATGCTGTTACCATAGTCATAGTGGCAATATAGTACTTCCCTGTGTGACAGACAGGTACATAAACAGACAGGAGAGAAGTTTGCTGTTAGAACTCTCACAAAGATAGATACTTCTGACTTTTGTTATAATTCCTCAACATTTGTTTATTTTCATTTGTGGAACGCCATCACTGAATAGCTGCAATCAGAGTGAGACTATGTTCATCATGTCAGATTCACGCGTTAATATGCTAACTGCTAATTTAAACAAAACACCAAGTAAAGCTAAGGCTGCTGGAACATACATATTTGGACATAAATATCAGACAAATTAAAACTTTGACATGATTATTGTGCTATATGTAAGATAAAAGGATCACCAAAGTTATAACAACAAATATGAAGGGAAGCTTTCATTCAAACTACAAATGTCAGTCTCATGGCAGAAGTCAATTCAAGGAATCATTAGCTCATTAGGATACATTAGCTTTGGACAATTCCAGTGTCTTTACACAATCCATCCAAGAGTTGTTGAGAAACTGGACCAAAGTAGTGGGCTGACATTGCCACCCCTAGGTAAGTATAATAATCCTAAAGACGCTATAATCACATAAAACTCCTATACATGTTGGCTTGAACACAATCGTAAACAAACAAACACACTCCTATTCCTTACCTATGAGCGGCACACTCTCAGATGGAGGCATACTCTCAGCCACCATTAGCTGGAACACAGTGAGAGCCAGAAGAACCGTCACTCCGAGGGAAACCTTCTCCCCAGAGTCTGCAGGCAGGTAGAAGCCCAGAGGAGCCAAGAAAGAGATGAGGAAGCACGGGAGGAGGAGGTTGAAGATGTAAAAGGAGGAGCGGCGCTGCAGGAGCACTGTATAGGTGATGTCTGGATACGGGTCAGAGCAACAGCCGTACATGATGACATTCTTGGTGGCCGGCATCCCGTGGCACTCCCACTCCACATTTTCTACAAAGTCTGACAGATCGCCACTGTCCATGCCCATAATGATGTCTACCTGGAATTAAGAGTAATGGATGAGTAGGTGTAGAGGCGGCACGCAAGAAAATACAAATTCAGCAAAAACACACATATATGTGACCACAGAAGAACAGCTCTATATATCAAAGCAAGAATCTCAGTTACCCCCTTATTGCACATGTACAAACCTGGTTGCCATTGTAGGTCCAGGAACCAAAAGTCAGGTTACATTCCTGGCTGTCAAAGGGGAAGTAGGAGACATCCACCACACAGGAGCTCTTGGTGATGGCAGGAGCATCCCAGGTTATCTCTCCGTTGTAGCGCAGCCTCACATTGGTGTCCATCGGCCCTGAGAAGTCATCGTCCGCCCTGGAGGAGGAGAAAAGGTTGACACAAATTGTCACATGTGTTATTTGGCTAGATGGTCTATTACAGAAGTTAGCATGAGAACTGGAGATTGTTAAAAAAAAATTGTTAAAAGTGGGTTTTTTTAAGCTTTTGACACTGAATTGCCTGTTTGTTAAACACACCTTTACGCTCTAATACAGCCCCAAAAAATAAGTTCCTTCCACCCCTCTTATGTATGAATTCAAAGTTTTCTTTTTATTTGAATCCTCTATAATACATTTTTCTTAATATATTTAAATTGTACTTTGTTAACTAAAGAACTTTGTAACTCTGTAGTTGTAAAGAGTCATATAATTTAAGAAGATTATTACTGTAAAAGTATAATTATGATCTCACAATTATTCAGATTACTGAAGCACCCTTGAGTAATGTTCGTAAGGCTGCAGAAGTGGTTAGCTCCCAAGGATGTGTGTCTAATCCTCCCGCTTGCAGGAACCAGTCTTTTAAGACGATGCTGCAGTGCCACAGTGTTCCTACTCTACTACAAAGAGGTTTTGATTAAAATTGCCACACACGACCCTATGAAACAGAAAGATCCAAAATTATAGTATTGTGTGTGTGTGTGTGTGTGTGTGTGTGTTTGTGTGACGTACTGGCGTACTTGTTATAGAGGACGAGGTCAGGCCTCCACACCAGGCTGCTGGGTATGTGGATCACCTCCAGTCCGTCATAGTCCTCTTTATCCCACTTGAGGTATGCATCGTTCCACGTCTGCCTGATCCACAGGTAGGCAATCAGCACCTGGTTCCTCTCATCCTTCATCACACACACACACACACACACACACACACACACACACACACACACACACAGGTCATAATCACACAAGTGAGAACAGACACACACATACACAATGGATATATACTAACAGCAGCTTAAAGAGCGATCCTCTTGGTCTCCTCATTTCTCTGTTGCTCATTAACTCTCTATGAGCATTACGAGAGCAGATACGCTTCAGATTATCACGACAACTGAAATCCAGACCTGTCTGTCAATATCAGGTGGATGAGCAGACGTGGGTAGGTGGGGGGTGCTTTTGGTATCGCTGCCAGAGCTTCGCTGAAGCACCAAACCGAAGAAAACAAACGCTTTGAGTAATAGGACACTCCAATGCACACACTTATTTGTCGTCTGGCTCTGACTCCTGTCTTCTCAAATATGACAGACTGGTGTACCACAGAGACATTACAGTCGGTACGAGAGCTGTATCCTGCCTTCAACCACGCATGCCCAAACACACGTGCACAACCCAAGCGATAATTCACTGTGGGTTGACACAGCACTGAACCTGAACAGGAACCTGAGCCAGCCAGAGTAACAGTAGGCCCGACCTGTACAGCAGGAGGTCTGTCATTCATACACATCAGCACCTACAAACTCTTCCTTTGGTGACTGCTGTCTTTGCAATGATTAAGCGCAGGAGTGCAGTAAGACTAATTTATCAGACATTTTATGTTGATTATTGATTTGTTTATGGTTCTGTAATGAGGAATGAGCTCTTAGTAAATACTGAAAATAGTCACATATTAGGCATCAAAACAATATTCAAACATGACCTCTTTAATAAGAACTTTGTGTGCATGATGGATTCATCTGAAGCGGTGCTATAATATTGGCGAGACAATTCTACAGATATTTCACTTAATCAGTTTAGTAAAGATAATGTTTTAGTTGTGGACAGTGCTGTTGGCTGGTTTGAATAAATATGGTTTATTTTGATCACTTAAACCATACAAACAGTGCATATAATAAACATTTAAGAATTTAGAGGGATCTTGCTGATGAGCTTGTACCCACCATGTCTTTGATCTGGGAGAGGGTGATCTGTAAGGTGACGTTGAGGGCTCTGTCTGTGTCCTCCACAGGCCGCAGGGCGCTGGAATAATTTTCCATCAAATCATTCAGAAGTTTCTGGGCATAGTGACCCTCCGCTGAGTGAGCCACTGTACGGGGAAAGACGTGATCATCAGTCATTTTGAAGTTTTTGACAAACCGACTGTTGTGCTTTCAGTGTGGTTTTATTTACCAGAACTTTTGAGATAATTCTACAAATGTGGAGACCATGAACAACCCACTTGGTTAAACAGTATTATTTTTCCTTTACATTGTTTGAAATGATGCATTTCAGTTAGTCTTAAAACAGTTATGATTGTTTATTATTTCATTTTCTTAATTCCATTCTTGTTTAGGACATAAATGCTATGCATTTGTTTTTAATTTGTATTAGGATAAAGGATTGTAGTTATAATTAGTTCCTTTTTGTTGAACCATTACAATCCCCCTCTATGGAGGTCCAAGTCCATGGAGTTTAGGGCTTTATAAAAAAAAAATTTCATACATTCTCAAACAAATGTGTTTGCCTTCAAAATATTCTTTAAATTGTTTGGTGTATTGGACTGAAAGCCAACATTTTACATCAATGTGACTGCTCTTTACCTGAAAGGCACCGCGGTTTGTGCGTAATTACGCGCACAGCAATGTTGACCGATAAACCTCGGCGGTTTCTGTCTTAACCAAAGGAAAAGCATGTATGCACAAGTTTAAACCAGCACAACGTCTTTAACTCAGTAACAACTGCACACAGACGTTTCATTTGCCTGCATGCAGGAGCGTCTGACTCACCTTCAGGAAGCAGCATCGCCAGACAGATTATTGGAATCATCTTGAGCATTTCTGAACACCCCAAGGATAAATAAAAGTTAACTGCGACCAGAAATCTAACGGTCCTTTAGTTTCTTCCCCTAACAGGCCTACATGATGCCCGTTCAACCCCAGTTGAACTCAGGTGCAGATAGCAGGACACCGTTTCATCTGGACGTCCTCGCGGTCAAGCCAGCTCTTACCGCTTGGCAGGAGAGGCAGCATGTCTGCTGACTGAGACAGGGAATAAAACTCCAGCTATCACATAGCCGCAGCAGCAGACAGAGAGAAACAGGATGCCCACGAATCATCGCCTCACCACACACTGGGCTATTCACCTGTCAATCAAACGCCTGCTGCCCACCTGGCTGCACGCTTCCTCCGACGACATATGGAGGACACACGACGGGAAAATCATCATACAAACCATAAAACTTCATATTATGGAAGTTCTTTAGATGTGGAAAGAAATTATTAGTAATAACTCTAGTCATGACGGCAATTGTAAAGTGACGGCAAAGCTGTCTGCAAGTTGTCTTCTCTACTTTAAAAGTTGCAAATAATTAAATAAATAAAAATTGTTTTTGTTTACAGTTAAATCTGAATGCCAGTCATATGTTCTGCTGAAGATACTGATGCACCGCAGGAAGTACAGGTCAGTCAGGGCCAGTCAGAAAAAAAACATGAGGTAAACATCAGATATGAATGAAAAAGCACATTCATTTTATTCAAAAGAAATAACACAATTTTAATTTATTTTTTAATTTTAATTAATTATACGCCTATATATACCTTAGGGATTTTACACTATTGATCAGAGAAACTCAGCTAGGCCTATTTAAAACATTTAGATTCTCTAGGCCCTCCAGTGGGAGTTGTAGACAAAACTCATTAATAAAAGGTCGTAGATCTCTTTCTTAACAAAGATATTATGCCATCTGCAATTCGAGATGTATCCTCTATTGTTTAAATGGGGCAGGTTTAAATGCTATGGGGGCTTTTTGCAGACAGATGGGAGTCAAACATCGCAGGAGGGTTTATGGATTCATTAAAGTACTAGCTAAACATTAAAAATAATAATAATAATAATAATACATACTGCCCTACAGCAGTACTATAAAAATGTTAATCTAAACGGACAAAACCACACAAAAGTAAATTCAATTTAGGAGCAGTATTGCCATAATAAAGGTTTTTTTCCCTAAAAGGCCATAACCTCACCGTTACATCACAGATGAAATAATTCCCAACAGCAATACTGTGTGAGTCATTTCTATTTTCCAATGTGTCCAAAAATCAAAATGAATCTATTGTGGCATGACTGGAAACGTGTATCCAGGGAGATATGCTGTGGAGGAGTCAGTACTATAGAACCTTTAAAACTTTAATAATCAAGCAACTTAATTTGTTTTGAGCGTGTTTTAACAGCGCAGAGAAGTCACTATCTCAGTGGCATTAGATAAGCCAGGAAGTGTGCTCTTTTTTTCCCCCATGTATTCAGCTCTATGTCGAACAGTCCTCCGCGCTGGGATGCTTGGAGGAGTTCCAGATGGTAGATATACTAGAGAGATATGCCAGCATCCAGTGGAAGGATACTAAATGAGCTTTTGTCACTCGGGATGCCTGGGAAACCTGAGGCTGGTTTAGCGTGCAGCAGGTGCACTGCTGTAAAGTTAAATGCACTCTGATATTGTCACTGACATCCCTTGATGGAGCTACAGCACACACTGCTGTTGATGAGGACACATAAACTCATCAGTGGCGTCTTTTCTCCTGTTTTGGTGCGAGTATGCGGTGTTCAGATTACTGCCAGGGTTTCTTGGAGAGGTTCGACATGGCACAACATGCTACCAAGCAGGCCATCTGTTGTTGTGCTCATCCTCACTGTGCCCACTATCTAAAGGTGATCTGAACATTTTAAGTGCCTGTATCACTTCCTCACTGAGGTTCTAAATGCACAAAAAAAAAGAGTGCTTGCACAACCTTACGCAACTGCAGTGCAATGCTACTGTACAAGTCCAAAGTACAAATGTACAGAAGGGCAAACTCCCAGTATATACATAATCCAATCGTCTGTTCTTCTGCATGCACATTCTTCATCTAAATTGGCTTGCCAGCTCTGTTTGCACTGGCAAGGTTACTCCCTGTAGGTTTAATTTCAGTTGGTCCTGTAAATCTAGTGTCTCACCCTAGTTTTTATTCAAATTAATGCACAGTCAAACAGGCTTATACATACAAGTCTAGGGTTTTCACAGCTTTTTAAGATTTAAATTCAAGCACTTTTCTAGGTACCTAAACCAAACATTTCCAGCCTTGAAGTCTTTATCATCATCTAAATTGTTACTAAATCCAATTGTGAAAGATGCGTAGTTTACAGTATTCCTTTACACCCACAGCAATCAAAGTATATTGTTACTTTGTTTATTTTATGAGCCGTTCTTATTAATGCTGTATGTTTTGATCATTAGTATTTAATGCTTGCTAATTTACAGAGGGATTAACAGAGGATTTATCTACCCATGAACGGTGAGTGAACAAGCCAGGCAAACAAATATGATGAGGGGATTGTTTTATTTCAATTAAAACATTTTTGGTTTAGAGGAGATTTTATGAATTTAAGCATATTCCCAACAAGGTTTGAAATATTTTCCCTCAGTGTCCCAGAATTGTCCTAAATTGTACTTTCGGCTGTCCCAGACTTAACAATTGTCCCAAACTGAAGTTCCTTATTTTCCATTCTACATAATAACTATAATTGAATAACTCTCCCATCTCCCATTATTTCATTGAGTAACTAAGGGCGGCTGTGGCTCAGAGGCAGAGCGGGTCGTTCCTTAATCGGAAGGTTGTGGGTTCGATCCCCGGCTCCTGGTGCCACATGTCGAAGTATCCTTGAGCAAGATACTGAACCCCGAATTGCTCCCGATGCCGTGCATCGGTGTGTGAGTGTGTATGAATGTTAGTTTCTGTTCGATGGACTTTGCCATCGCTGAGTGAATGTGTGTGAAAGGGTGAATGTGGCACGTAGTGTAAAAGCGCTTTGAGTGGTCGGAAGACTAGAAAGGCGCTGTACAGGTCCATTTACCATTTAACTCTGGTCTGCCATGGAAGTTCTGCTAGTTGTTCCTTCCACTTTTATCTGAATAAAACCTTTTTCCTGGGGGTTTGGCCACAATCTGTTTCCATTAGTCTTCTAGTCATTGGTTGAGTTGCTGTTCCTTGTTTAACTGATCGATAAATGCATCACTGCAAACTGCAGTACAAATGCAAACCTGTTTCTGATTGTTATACGGCAATACGTTCCATACACAAACTCACTATAGGGGAATTGTATATTTGAAGTAAAAAAATAAATTAATTAATTAAAATTTACAAAGCTCCAGAGATCCAGAGAGAAAGAGTGAGAGAGGTCAAATGTTCCCCATACGCCACACCGACTGACTGCACAAGAGGAGAGAGACCCTGCTGCTGTTGGTAGTAGACTGCAGCAGAGAGCACCACGCATGGGAATGAATTACAATATACTTAAGATATATTTCACCCCTTTTCCATCATAGTCTGAATAAGTCGCAAAATTTGCCGCTAGTTGCTTTTTACAAAAAGTCGCGAAGACGGTCAGAGAAGTTGCTACACCTAGTGAGAGAATTTTCTGGTCTCTCTTTGACTGCAACGGTTAAAATTAAGCATTTTCCAAACTTTCAAGACTTTTCAAGACTGATCAAACCCTGCATATTGAATTGTAAATACTAACAAGCATAAGCAGTTTCTCTATTTATCAATATTGTGACTGAGTTTAAGCTAGCTGCGATATACGGACAGAATGTCACATTGTTGTCAGGTAGTTTTTTGTTGTTGCTTGCTTCCTAGACAGTGGGAAATTATTCCAGTAGAGAATAATCACACAACGCTGCAAAGACACATCAATAAAAGGACAGAGTGCGGATTAATTTACACAGACTTTAATATCTTTATTTACAGATTAATCATTTTGACATATTTATCTGTTGGCGTAGTTAAGATGATGCAATATTTTTCAAACTCGTTTTTGAACTATTTCCATCCAGACTTGGTGACAAGTTGTGTTACAGCTGAACATGTTTTTTTTTTTGTTTGTTTGTTTGTTTTGTGTTCTTTCAGTTTAAAAACAAGAATCCAAATGTATTCCTGCAGGAGGCCAAAACCAAATAAAAGTTTTAAAAAATGTGGGGGACAGGTGAAGTAAGCCATGTCAAGAACAAGTGTGGGGATTGGGTGCTGGGGTTTGCTGCTTTGGGCTCGTCAGACAGTTGAAGAGGGGGAAACGTGGCATGAGAATGAGTATGGCTACTGTGTGAACACCTCAGTGACACTTGATAAGCTGGTTTCCAGAACAGGGAATAAGACTCTTCCAATTACGGGTGAATAACTCCATATTTTCTATCTGATGCACTACATTTACTAAAGTGAAAGATGTTCCCCAAAAAATCCCCAGTGATGGAACAAGATAATGATTCAGAAGAGTCCAGAAATGTCTATTTACTACTCATTTTAGAGTACCCCCAAAATACTGAGTGTTTATTGTATAAGGATGAGTGAACATAGTGATGTTGGACACAGCACAAGAACATTTTATAAGAGATATCAATTTAAAAATGTGGTATATCTAGGACTCAATCCCTGTTTAGAAAAGCAGCCCAACAGTGTGTACAAATCATAACCATGTTCAAAAGAGCCTCCTAGAACGGCTCAACTCTCTCCTACAAAAAGGTTTTCACAAATGAAAGTAAATGCACTGCATAGGCAAGGATAAGCCACAGCCGCTTCTTGGACACAGCCAGGAGAGCTGGGAGACTGGTGGGCGTGGGCGGGGTCTTAAGTCTGGCATTTGCTTCAAAAGGGGGGGGGATGTGGTTGAACTTCTGATTGTAGCACGGAGTGGAATGTTGAATGGATTTAAAGAAACCAGAGATAAGAGCTCACAGAGCGAACTGGAGTGCGGTACAGCAGAGGTGATGAGCGCGGAGGACAAGATGCCACACAGAGGGGGATAAAGGAGGGAGAGGGGTGGAGAAGAAGGGAAGCGTGGAGGTGAGGAGTCCACTGCGAAACAGAGTGCAACAGGGGAAAAAGACGCCTTGAGACAGCAGGAATTTGGAGGAGAGAGGGTGTGACTGTGTGAGGAGGAGAGATAGGGATCAAGAGGAAGATGAAGAGGGTGTCAAGATTCAGTTACTGAGCAGTAGCTCTGTCGCTGTCTCCACGTCCCAG